CATAAGAAGGAGAAATAAATGTTGAAGGCCCAAATATCAGGGGTGAAAGTTTTCACATGCCCTCTATAGATATCTCTCTTCCAGGAGGAGGAGCAGGAGGAGATGTAGATGTTGAAGGACTTGCAGGAAAAGGAAGAAAATTTGAAATGCCTAAATTAGATGGTTCCTTGCCTAAATTAAAACCATCAGGAGGTGAAATCAATGTTGAAGGTCCTAATATCAAGGGTGGAAAGATTCACATGCCCTCTATAGACATCTCTCTGCCTGCAGGAGGAGCAGGAGGAGATGTAGATGTTGCAGGACATGCAGGAAAAGGAAGAAAATTTGAAATGCCTAAATTAGATGTTGCCTTGCCTAAATTAAAACCATCCGGAGGTGAAATCAATGTTGAAGGCCCCAATATCAAGGGTGGAAAGTTTCACATGCCCTCTATTGATATCTCTCTGCCAGGAGGAGGAGCAGGAGGAGATGTAGATGTTGAAGGACCTGCAGGAAAAGGAAGAAAATTTGAAATGCCTAAATTAGATGTTTCCTTGCCTAAATTAAAACCATCGGGAGGTGAAATGGACATTGAAGGTCCCGATGTGAAGGGTGGAAAATTTCACATGCCCTCTATAGATATCTCTCTGCCAGGAGGAGGAGCAGGAGGAGATGTAGATGTTGAAGGACCTGCAGGAAAAGGAAGAAAATTTGAAATGCCTAAATTTGATGTTTCCTTGCCTAAATTAAAACCATCAGGAGGTGAAATCAATGTTGAAGGCCCCAATATCAAGGGTGGAAAGATTCACATGCCCTCTATAGATATCTCTCTTCCAGGAGGAGGAGCTGGAGGAGATGTAGATGTTGAAGGACCTGCAGGAAAAGGAAGAAAATTTGAAATGCCTAAATTAGATGTTTCCTTTCCTAAATTAAAACCATCAGGATGTGAAATCAATGTTGAAGGCCCCAAGATCAAGGGTGGAAAGTTTCACATGCCCTCTATAGATATCTCTCTTCCTGGAGGAGGAGCAGGAGGAGCAGGAGGAGTTGAAGGACCTGCAGGAAAGGGAATAAAATTTGAACTGCCTAAATTTGATGTTTCCTTGGTTTCCTTGCAACCATCAAGAGGTGAATTGGACATTGAAGGTCCCGATATCAAGGGTGGAAAGTTTCACATGCCCTCTATAGATATCTCTCTGGCAGGAGGAGGAGCAGGAGGAGATGTAGATGTTGAAGGACATGCAGGAAAAGGAAGAAAATTTGAAATGCCTAAATT